TGTTATATGTATACAAAAAAACCAAGCCAAGTAACCCTCTATACTAATTATCCAAGTAAATAAAAATATATGAAGTCTATTTATTTGAAAGCTTCCAAGGTTAAAAAAAATTTAGTTATTGTATATAAGTGCACCCATGTCATGTGATGCCCACAGAGGTCAGAAGCAGACATTGAATACCTTGAAACTGAAATTATGGATGGTTGTGGTTGTTGGGAATTGAAACCAGGGCCTCTGCAAGAGCAGTCAGTGCTCTTAACACCTGAGGCAGCTCTCCAGGCCCAAACTTCTGAGCTCTTGATTAATCAGATGGAGAGACTCATATGTTTAACTTTACCAAAGCTCAGATTCCAGGCTATCATTCTCAAGCAATTGGGCCCTTGTGGCCAAGAAAAGGACAAGCTGACCAGAAGTCATTTTAGTTCCTTGTAAGGCCCTGGTTTTGTTTAGTCATTTCCTGATATTATTCAGTAGACTGAGTCAATATGGTGTGCAATGGTGTGTGTTCACCATTGCAAGCCTCATAAAATACAAATGTGGGGTAGGGAGGTGCTCAAGAGATGTCTGGAGGATAAATGGAAATGCTTTCTGCTCTCATCAGACCAATTTAATCACAGGCCATGCCCATCAGACTAGATGGTGGGACTTCTGTGTTCATTTCTATGCTGTTTTACTGACTAAGCAGCTCATAATGCTTATTTTAAGTGAGATTATATTATTCCTCTGTCCAAAAGCTTCCACTGTTTTCTCATCTACTGTGAAATAAAAGCACAAGAACTCTGAATCACTTCAAGGCTCTGCCAGCTGGAATCCTGCCTCTTTCTTGATCTCTAACTGTCCTATCTGTCATGTATTCTACTCGTAATGCACTGCTCTTCTTGCTGTTTCTTGTCCCTGTTTAAAGCATGCACTCTTTGTTTGTTTCCTCTGCTTACAGCACTTCTCTTCTGCTTAGAACATATATGGTCACACAGCTTACCCATTCCTCACCTACTATGCATTTTTCCCCATGTGACTTAACCAAGGAAATTTCTCTTTCTTTTCCTTCCCCAATGTATTCCCATGTGTGTTTTTCCTCATAATCATCTTCAGTACTATGTATTTGCTTGTTAATTTAGCCAGTTGGATGTCATCTCTCAAAAGAACATGGTCATGGGTATCATCCATAATTTATAACTGTACCCTCGTCATAAAGAACTGTACTTAGCATAGAGCCATGACCCAATAAAGAATAAATGAGCAAATAATCTGCATTATTAATTTGTAAGATTGGGTATAGCAATGTGCACGCTGACGTTCTCCTGCGTGTTTTGGTGATATCAAATATAAAGCAATTAATTCAACAAATGAAGCTTTTAGTATTTTCTTAAGAAAGTAAAACGTAAGACACCTGTTTCAAGCAGTTCCTTAAACCTCTATGTAGAAATTGCTTGCTATGTATGAGGCATCCATTGTGTAATAATAGTGATGCCTCTCTTTCTGTGACCATAATATTCCTAGTAATATGAACATCTCTAAAAATGGTACAAATTCTGCATTGTTTATATCCTCCACACCTACATCACTATTACACCGTGTCTAACTATTTCTAAACACTGAGATTCAAATTACGGATTTTTACCTTTATGAAATACCTTTTGCGTTTGGCATATGCATGTGTGTTCACTTATTTGTGAAGGTGTGTGTGCCCATGTACATGCATGGAGGCCAGAGGATGCAAGGTGTCCTCTTCTGTCACTTTCTGGCTCCCTGCTCATTCTGTGGAGACAGCATCTTTCACTGAACCTCAAGCTTGGCTGGCACCAGCAAACCCTATTGATCTTCTGGTCTCTGCCTGCCTTCCCTCCTACTCTACCTCCCTCGGTGCTGGGATTACAGGCACAGGCAGAAATTTCTGCTTCTTATATGGATCCTATGGATCTAAATTCCGTTCCTCATGCTACACAGCAGGTGGTCTTATCCATTGGACCATCTCTCCATGTCTTAATATGAAGTATCTCAAATCTATGAAAAAATCACAAAAAATTTGTACTAAATCCTAATATTTTCTACTTTTGATTCAAATTATTTTCTTAATGTTATGAATATAACAGATATTAACACTTTTATTTTCATTCCAAGAATCTACTCTTTGTCTTTTCACCAGAGATGTTCCCTCAAATTCACTTTTTGAATAAACAAAAGAAACAATAGAGCATTTAATGAAAACTCTGGTGTCTACCTTATCTTGCCCACTTAGGAGCCTAGGGGATCCAGGTCTGCTGTGCTGAACCACGTGGTCTCTGGGACCAACAGATGGCTGTCTCCTCATACAGTGTTCAGTGTCAGCTGACTTAATTCAGGTCTACCTCTTTGACCTATATTTCTTCCTTGGCTTTTATGGGCATTTGTATTTGGGACTCTTGTCCTCCACATTTAAAAAACTTTATTGAATTGTTTAATTGACTTTTTTGCAGTCTTTATGTAATATGATTTGGTGGCATTTAGATTCTCTTATGTATCCGCACATCTCTTCATTGCCCCATGCAAATTCAATGGTCTCTCATATATATTATATGTAAATATGGCCTACAGTAATTATAATATATATATAATATAGTCTATAGCGTCTGACTTGTGTCACCAAATGTCTTTCAGTGTGCTTCCATCCACTGAGCCCATCAAGAGTCCCATCCCTGCAAGACACTGTCTCCCTCACCCCCAGCAGCCATCAACTGCCAAAAGTTCCTTAGGTTTGGTTGGGATTTCTTACCCACTTCCCTATATCTATGCAGATATTTTGTCTGGTTTGACTATGCATGGTCCTTGTATATGATGTCACCATTGTCACATATAAGTTCATATAAGTAGCTGACCAGCTGTCTGGAAGACTTAGCTTGTTTGTGGTCATCCATCCCTCTGGCTCTTATCTTTCTGCCTCCTCTTCTGCAATGATCCCTAAGTCTTGGGAGGCAGAGGTTGAACTAGCTGTACTATTCAAGGGCAAGCACTCTGTCACTGCTTGTTCTCTGCATACTGGCAATTGTGTGTTTCTGTGTAATTCACCATATTCTTTTAACAGCAAGTAATGCAACCTCCTTTCATGTAATACGTGATGCCCTCTTCTTTAAAAATTTATATACTTATTTTTATTTATATGTGTGTGTCTACATGTTGTATTTTCACATGTATTTTCCTCATCACATGGAGGTCAGAAGAAGGTGTCAGTCTTCTAGAACAAAAATTACAGGCAGTTGTGATATAGGTACTGGGACACTTCCCAGTTCCTCTGAAAGAGTAGCAAGCATTCGAAACAACTTAGTCATCTTTCCAGACCCTTTTCTCTTAGTCTTATTTTTTTAAATAAACAGCTCTTGTTAGAAAATGAAAGCAAAGCCAACCTCACACCCCTCAGCCCTTCACAGCTCACTCTGAATTTGTTAAAAATAAACCTTCAGGGTTACAGTAGTAAATCACCCAATTTTGTTGACTTGGTATATATTTTGGTTTATCTTTGTCAGCAAAAGAAATTATTCAGGAGTAGGTAAAGAGTAAAGAGAAAGACTGATGGTGTGACACTTCTAGGACTATGAGGAGAAAATAAGTTCAACAGCAAAGAATTCTTGATGTGTATTTTACTTTTCCAGCTTCTTTGAGAATATTTGATGGTCATGAAGGAAATTATGATGCTCTCAATAATTTATGATAATGCTCAACTTTAAATACCATACTATTTATTGACTATTGCAAAGTCAGACAAATGACACACTGGGAAAATAGTCTCATATGCAGTTTCCTGACACAAAATGAGGCAATGCTTTTTCTCTGGAGCTTCAGATTATTCTCACCAAATTTGTCTTTGTGGTAACAAACCACTGTGCTGATTTTATTTCCAGAGAGCTGGATGTACCACTGCAGAGCCCAGCTCTAGACATTCTCAATCTGTCTCTCAAACCCAATATGACCACCTTATGGTTTTAAAATTTCGTTAAAAAGGATGAGCATTGGCAATGTGGATCTCAGGTTCTGTTGGCCAAATTTCTAAAAGATTTAATATAAGAAGTTGTATCAGATGAGAGTGTGGCTCTGTACTGAAGCACACACGCTAGAGTGTATGCCTACAATGTGTGAGGCACTGGGTTTGAATGTCAGCACTATACCCGCCCCCCAAAAAACAGTGGAAAGAACAGCAGCATATGTATTTTCTTTAACAACAGACTTGAAATTCTTGTTACTAAAAATGTGTTTGGAAATATTCTTTGCTTAATGCAATTACATCTTTTTTCATTTTTTGATATTTAAAAGACAGGAAATAGTATAAAGTAAATCATCTTGAAGAAATTCAAGGGGAAAATGAAGAATAACATATTTGAGTGATTTTTACCCTCCTTGTCTTTAATCTGATGAGGCGGTTTTTGTGATATGTGCATATTGTCACTTTGCTCATTAATTAAGACCCTGTAGTCAGCTACAAACAGTCAATCTGGTAGAACACCAATATATCCTCATGAGGTAGGTTTGGCTCATATCTTGATATGGTTTCTTGTTCTTTAATATCTGGATGAAAAATATACCTTCTTAAACCAGGCATGGTGGTCCTGCACACTGTTAATCTCAACCTGTGACAGGTAGAGACAGGTGGACCTGTGCAAAATCTAGGTGAGCCTAGGTCTACATAGTGACTTCTAGGTAGACTGGGACTAGGGAGACCCTGTCAATATATCCATATTAATCTACATATTGAAAATATATTGAATATGGGGCTACAGGGAGACCCTGACTCAAAAGGAAAACAATACATGTGTGTGTGTGTATATATATATATATATATATATATATATATACATCTTCTTGAGGTGATTTGTGAATTGGAATGTGACTTTTCTTAAGGATGGATCTGGCTTTTATTTCTACATCAAGTTAATGTGTTCTCAAATAGAGGCCATGCTATGGAGAATGAGAGAATACAGAAAGCTATTTTAGTGTACTTACATTTATTGCACTTCTTTTATGTCATTATGGTGAATATTCACATTGAATATTATAAATGCATCCCAAAGTAAAATCGCACACTAACTTTGTTTTAAAAGAATGAATATTTATTAAGAAATTATATGCTGAATTCTCCTACAGCCCGTAGATATGGTTTCTCCCATTTCCACAGCACAAGACAATAGCTAGGAGTATTGGAAACACTTGCAATGCTTGGGAACAGTATTGGAAAACACTTGCAATGCTTGGGAACAGAGGGCTCTGAGGGAGCCAAGATGAGATGGAGTGGTCCGTATACTAACTGAAACTTTTGGATCCGAGTACAAGACAATCCTTTCCTTATCAACCTACTTCTCACCTGTTAAAGCACTGAAACCTGTCCATGGAATCTCACAGTCAGACTGAAGTATTAGGTGATAATTAGATCATTTCAATTCAGTAGAGCCCAGCATGCTCACAGATTAAACCAAAGTCTTTTAACTGTCCTATCACATCTGAAATAACTGCATTCTTTACTAATAAAATGGTGCTTATAGAGGGAAGAAATATAATTTTTTCAATACTTTTCCTTATGGGCCTAAAGTACCTGAAATTATAAATTATAAATAAATTATAAAACTAGCATACAATGTATATTTTTTCATGACATTGTTGGAAATAAGTTTTACATGTAGAATTGCAATACCACTTGACTATATATGTGCTCAACAATGACACATGCTAATCATAAAAATAGCTTTTACAAATATACATTTGTATACAGTGTCTCTCTTACCATTCATAAATGTCCTTCACAATTTAAGACTTAAAAAACATAATTAGCAATAGGGAAAACACATTTACAATGTAAACCATAAAACAACAATTGTACAGGTTATAACACAGAGGAAATGGACTTCTTAAAGGGAAACTGTATGCATCAGGGATTTTATATAAATTGAATCAGAGACGCCGCTATCCAGTAAGAAACCACCTTTCATATTTCTGCAAGTCATCACAGTTTCTCTCATCTTCTTCTGTGGCATTGTATGTTACTTCAGATCACTTTATCTGCAGAAACTGCAAAAAGAAAAAAAAAAGTTTTAAAATACATAGAAGTATATTTCATTATTTTTATTATACATTGATGTAAGTTGCCCTGAAGATTAAATGAAGAGAAAGCTAAATAAATAAGTAAATTTTTAAGGAATACAATTTTTAATACAGTATTTTTGTTAATTCTTTGAGAATTTCATACATACATAAAATGGCTTTTGATCATATCACCTTGTTCTTACATCTTAACTCATTTCAGATCTACTCTCTCTTCTTCACTCCCAACCCAACATGTCTTTTTTTTTTTTTTTTGGTATAACACACCAAGTCCAATCTGTGCTGCCCATAGGTTCTTGGTGTGATGCCATCCACTGCAGCATCCCAGTACCTCCAGGGGCCACACTGTTAAAGAAAACTGACTTTCCCTCACTCAGTCACCATCAGCTGTCAATAGCTCATCAGCTAGTGGTGGGGGCTCATGAGCTCTTTTCCTGTCCATGATGGATTTTTTCCTGGATATATCTTGTGCTGATCTTATGCAAGCAACCAAAGCTGTTTTGATTGTTATTATACTTAGATTAATTTCAGGCATGTCCAACCAATGGCCTGTATATCACATGGACCTAAGGGTAGTTATGGGTATAGACCAACAGAAGCCATAAGTTACTTAACTTATAAAGAGATCTTTGCAGTATTTAGTGTTTTGTAACTTTATTGCACAATTCTAGATCACGACATTTGTGGATAATAATGTCATGTCACAACATCAAAAGGTTGGATACCCATAAGGCAATCTTAAAATTCTTTACTTTGTAGTAGGTTCTAACATTTTTAATCTAGCTATTTCATTGCTTAAGATAAACAACTTTTTTTTTAGCTTGAGTCTTGTCCAAATCAGAGAGGAAACTCTTGAGCTCCAGGTTGGGAAAAAATATGCCCCTGAACATTTTTCCTCTAAGAAGTGTGACTACAAAATACATTTCTCCTCCAAGAGGCTTTGAAGAGTGCACAGTTCCAAACCCTTTATGTACCTGGAGGAAAAAATTCCAACACAGGTCATTTCCTTTTTTTTTTGATTTTGTTTTGTTTTGTTTTGTTTTTAACTGAGTTACACCAAGTGGAATGGAGAAGAACACAGCCAGAACCAGAATAGACAAAAATACTTCATGAAAAACATGAGGCAGATATATAAAATCCAAATCTAACTGGTTGAAGGTCTAAATTGCAAAACTGAATATGAAAATGGAGATAACACAAAAATCCATTAGTGGAAAAAGAACAATATTCATTTTTTAGAATCTTATCAAGTCTCAGTCTTCACTAATTATAGTTCCTTTCAAGACCACAATAGAGCTTGCAGTAGAGACAACACGTATGTACAACAACATTGTGGGAAAGCATTTTCTTATCCCAGTATGATACAAAATATGAATGAACTCACATAGGAGAGAATCTAAATGTATATTACCAATGTGTGAATTTCTATACTACTCACATTTCCCTTCAAGATCATGAGAGGATGAACTATGTGTAAGTTACTTTGGAAAATCTTTTCTCAGAATAAATTTACCATTCATGAATGAACTCAAACTGCAGAAAAATCATACGGTTTTAATCAATATTAGCAATCATGTTCTGGTTACACTGAAAAAGATGAACAAAATCACCCCATAAAGAATTCCTACATAGAGAATGTATGAAGATTCCCATTTTCAAAAGATATTTCTAGTAAATATGAGGGCATAATCAAGGTATCTTGTATTACTATAAGACATGGGGACAATATCTAGCTATTTTAGATCAATTCACAACTTGAAGGAAAATACTCATCTGGAAAACTTGATTAGAAGAGAGCTATGCATCTTCATTGAACCCACATATCCAAATTCACATTTGATCAAAATCTAATAAATATCTGAAATCTAATTGTCATCTATAACATATAGTTTAAAAGACATAGCACATATTGGGATACTAACAGTAATAGTTAATATGTGGAATGTTTCAGAAATGGCACAACAGGAAGGGCATGTTATAATATTTACAAATACATCATGTTTATCAAGGACTCATTTTGAAGATAGATTTGGGCTATGTACTTTTAATTTCCTTTTTGAAAACAAATGTTGCAGTGAAGTTACTTTGGAGGATTTTCTGAAGTAGTGGCGTATGAGCTTAAGCAGCAGGTTATTTTTTAATGAGGTCAGTGAATAATTTTTCTGGTTTAATTTTAAAATGTTGAATTAATAAGTAAATTTCGTCATCTTTTTAATATGCAATTAGTCTTAATTTTCAAGTAGTTTTTAAATGATTTAGACAATTAGCCAATGAAAATTGGTTTTGTCACTCAGGATATTCTTCCTTGGCTTTTCATATTTTGAAAATGATATTAAATTATATGAATCTTATAATTTTGTCAAAATAAATAACCCCAAACAACAAAAGTGAGAAATAAAAATAGACCTACAGTTCATCCACAAACAAATTTTTTGGAGTGCTCAGGGAAGAAAGGTTACATACATGTCAAGAACCAAAGACACAGAAATCAAGGAGAAGACTGAGTTTGGCAAATGGGTGAAAAGTGTTGGGGACCCCTGCTGTGTAAAGTAGCAGTCTCTCCATGTCCGGATAGCCCATGAGCTCGGATTCAAATGCAGAGACTCCTTTTTCAGCAGGGTGCCTTCCCGGCATCTTCCTGACTCATCTTTTGAAGCAGCCATCACAGAAACATGGTCTCTGGCTCGGGAACTGCCAGCTTTCTCTTTGCAGTCTGGCAGCCTGGCAGGAGCCCACTTCCACATGTAAATAGGGGATCCCACAATGTACCTATCAGCTAAGGTTTTCACCACTACCCCCACAGTATAAAGTATCCTGGTTTTCCCTCAATAATCGGAGCTGGACTACTAAGACTTGGAGCCGACCTGAGTCACTGAATAAAGAGCTGTAACACGGACTAAGCTGAGTCCTGTGTCTTATTGCCTATGATCCAGTCTCTCCGGAGAAAGCTGTTTCTTCGTAAGCCACGACTCACGGAACCCTAGCTTTTGCCGTCCTGCACCTTCCTGCGTGATCCGGCAGCTGACAGATCTTGCATCTCGAGGAAGTGCACGGGTGAAATTAGGACAGGACCCGACCGGGCCAGCCCCGGTAGCAGAAACCTCAGCAGCATGGAGAGCCTGCCCCCTAACGACCTCCGACTGCCTGTACAGGTGTAGACAAAAGACCTCTTTCTATATACCTTTCTAATATCAAAATCTGGTGATGCAACGGCCACTTAAGAGTCATTAGGATGGCCGCCAGTTCCTTAAATTTGCAGGAAGACCTGTGCTGGGAGCCAAGCAAAATCCCCTGAAATCTTGATTTCAGGCACGTTTTCTTGGAAACCATCACTTCACCCCACTTTTTCTATCTTAACACTGCTAGAAAAGTCCCAAAAGTTCTAAGAAATCTTCACGTAAGCCTCAGAGTCAGGCAAACTTCCCTAAGCGGCTTTGTTATCTTGCCCCCCAGGGCATTCAAGCCACAGCTAAAACCAGTTAGATAAGAATTTAAATTAACTAGCCCCTGCGAGCACCTGGGAGTTCAAGGTGGTTTGCGGCCAGAACAAAAGATTTAAAACCGTCACTTTTTTTCTGCACAGCAATGCTTAGGAAACCCACCTAAGATTGAGGAAAGCTTACAAACACCAGAAAATAATAAAGGAGAGGTTTTAAACTATAGAAAAACCCTGCAGACTGCCCAGTAGCAGACTCAACAGCCCAAAAAATAAAATTTGACCAAGCCAGACAAAACCCACCCATCAACAAAATTAACTCTTACCCCCCTCTTGCTGATTTAACAAGCCCAGATATTAATGCCCAGGCTTCAAAAGCTCCCAAAGATCCTCAGATAAATCCCCCTCCCCCTTCACCTCGGCTGCTGCCACAGCCTGTGGTGCCACGCCCTACAGCCATAGAGCAATTGTGTAATCTTAGGGATAGTGGAAGTTGCCAGCCTCAATGGCCTCAGGACCCCCAAACCCCACCGGTAGAGGCTTTTCCTGTTAACTTACAAATAACAAGGCAATGCCCACTGGCCTGGTACCTGCTCCCAGCAGCGGAACTTAAAGAATTGCGCCAGGTTGTCCATGAAGATGGAATTCATGCTCCATAGACAAAATCCATATTACAAACATTTAATACTAATCTGCTTACCCCCCAGGACTGGAGGGACATCTGTAGATCTACCCTCCCCAGTCCATTATTTGTACAATGGGAAGCTTTATTTAAAGATGAATGCCTGATGAAGGTTAAAAGAAATGACACACATAATCAACAGCTGAGACCACAGCAAGGACAAGATCCACCACCTGGATTCATAGATTGGAACTATGACCAGCTTTTTGGCCAGGGCAACTTTTCCACAGGAATCCAGCAGGCTGTGATTCCTCCTGGCTGTTTTGAGCAGGTCCGCTTATGTGCACTACAGGCCTGGGAC